GTCAATGAGAAATAATTTTGGTCTGGAAAAAGCCACTGCGGGGAGCAGGGGAATAGGGGTAGGACTCTGTGGAAGTGTGCAGGGTCATTAATCTTCTCCTGGTACACAATAAGGATGTTAAATTTAGATTAAATGGCTAATCGAATAGTTGGTGCAATTTGCATTAACTATTTGATTAATCGATAAGGGCGCCTCTGCCTTTGAAGTGTAGCAACAGCCCCAGGGCTATTACTATACTTCAAAGGCGAAAGCACTGTGGGAAGCTCAAGGCCAGCGGGGGACTCAAGTAGTCCCCTTTTGGCCCTGTGCTCCTCACAGTGTTTCAAAGTGGCAGCATTGCATGGAGCCCCCACCTGGCTCCGGGCTGCATTCGGCATGTCAAAACGGCAGACCCTGGGCTCCACATGGCAAGGGAAGCAACTATTAGGTCGACTATCGGATAAGCATTTGCTTATTGGATAATCAACTAGTTGTTCACATCCCTAGTACACAGGGCCATGACTCTTGGCAGTAATGGGGTTCCCAAACTGCAGGGGCAATAGATGGCACACATCCCTATTCTGACACCCGACTGCCTTGCCACAGAGTACATCAACAGAAAGGGCACTTGTAAATTACTGGGGATGCTTCAGCGATATCAGTGTAGTCTGATTATGGAAGCCGCATTACACTCAGATCTTCAGGGCTCTTCTGAAAGCTACAAGCAAGGAGTCTTTCCTGACAGGCATATACCTATTGGCGGCGTTAAAATGCCAGAGGACCCAGCCTTCCCCTGCTTTATGAAGCCAACTACTGACCATTTACTTAGTTTTTATTGTAAACTGTGACAGCTCATAGGACACAACTCATTATTACATTGTGTTTTGCCTGGAAAAATTCCTCATCTGGGATCAGTCAAGTCCTGAGAGTGCCAGACCAAGGAGGTCCAACCTGTACTAGTTTTGCTGTGCATTTATGTTTGACAACCACAATGTAATAATGATCCTATGAGTTGTGTCACAGTTTATAAAAAAAATAAGTAAATGCTCTCACTGCTGCCAGACACTCTGCAACATATGTTGGGAACTAATCAAGATGAATTATTTTCCAAACAATAGCGTTTTATTGGGTAACAAAAATGCTGCAAAAATGCTTTGCAAGTTAAAAATACATTAAAACCTTAATAAATGTATCTGCATACTTTCACCAGTGTTTTACATTACCAAAAGAAATACAGTCAAAGGGTTGGCTAGATTACTTAACATATTCCTTTCATGACAAATAGCTATGTACAGCAGAAATTTAGGGTTAACAAAACAGTTGGCTTTGGATATGATGTTAACTCCTGTGCTTCAGCTAAGACACTTTCAGCTGAATAGAATGTGTGACCACATTGAATGTTTCAGAGAGTGATAATGCAAACACCTGACCAGGTCCCTTGTATAAAAGGTAGAGCAGCACATAAAACCTTGATCCTGCAGAGTTATATATGTTTATAATTTCAAACACATTAATATAATAATCAACACATCAGCACCACATTTCAAGAAAGATGTGGAGAAACTGGAAGGTTCAGAGAAGAGAAACAAGAATGATTAAAGGCCTAGAGAACATGACCGAAGAAGGAAGGCTGAAAGAATTGGGTTTGTTGAGTTTAGAAAAGAGAAGATTGAGGGAGGACATGATAGCAGTTCTCCGGTATCTAAAAGGGTGTCATAAGGAGAAGGGAGAAAATTTGTTCATCTTGGCCTCTGAGGATAGAACAAGAAGCAATGGGCTTAAACTGCAGCAAGTCAGGTTTAGGTTGGACATTAGGAAAAAGTTCCTAACTGTCAGGGTAGTCAAACACTGGAATAAACTGCCCAGGGAGGTTGTGGAATCTCCATCTGTGGAGATATTTAAGAGTAGGTTAGATAAATGTCTATTAGGGATGGTCTAGACCAGTGGTCCCCAACCTTTTGGGGCTGCCAGGCGCCCAGGGGGCGGGGCCACTCATGCGCCCAGCACTTGGGGGCAGGGCCGCACACATGCCCAGAGGCAGGGCCACCCATACGCTGCGTGCCCAGTGCCGGGGCCACCCATGCACCGCACTCCCGGGGCCAGCGCCACTCCTGTGCCGCACGCCCAGGGGTGGGGCGGCCCATATACCACGCGCCTGGGGCCAGCGCCGCTCCTGTGCCGCGTGCCCAGGGGCGGGAACACCCATACGCTGCGTGCCTGGAGCTGGCACTGCCCATGCGCCATGCGCCCGGGGGAGAGGCCAGCCCCGATCATTCAGCGGGCACACAGAAATGGCCCGGCGGGCGCCACAGCGTCCACGGGCACCACGGTGCCCGCGGGCACCACGTTGGGGACCACTGGTCTAGACAGTATTTGGTCCTGCCATGAGGGCAGGGGACTGGACTCGATGACCTCTCGAGGTCCCTTCCAGTCCTAGTATTCTATGAATCTATGAATAGTCCTACTCAGTGAAATTAGTCACATCCTTAATGTTAAACTGATGGTACATTTACGGTACTGAGATTTAATTTCTGTACACATTTGTACAAATTTTGACTTCATAAAGATATAAACAACTTGTACAGGTACTGTGAAAAAAATAAAAATAAAAACACACACAAGGAAAAGAATTCCCATAAAGGCTGGTCACATCTCTCTCATTTGGCTTGTCATTTTCCAGGTGACCATAAAGGTTAAAAGCAAACAAACCTAAAGTAAACCAGGACCTACAATAAAGCATTAAAAATCATTCTGACTCCCATTAAAAACAATGGGAAAATCACCCATAATTGACTTCAATGGGAGTTGTATCAGGCCTTTAATGTCAGAAAACAATAGAAATGTCTTGTTTGTTTACGGAGCTTTATAGCCACACTTGCTGACCCACAGGATGTGCAACAAAAGACAAAAGCATAAAACGTGCAGAAAGAAAAAAGCACCAAAAAATGTTGCAACATGTACAAGTTAAGGCCGGGCAACTTGTTTAAATGGAGCAACAAATAATGCAAACAAAAATTACTTTGCAAAAAGAGTTACTCAATATTTATCTAATTTTATAAACAAATTTTAGTTGCTAAAATCAAGACATGGAGAGAAAAAATCATCCAACATGTGTCTTCTAAATCTAATGTTGATTTTTGGAGGTATGGAAGGACTCAAAAAGGGGAAAACTATATCCCACCTAAGAAAGATAAAATTAATTAATTTTAATGAGACAATTTTAGAGCAGCTAAGTCTTAGAGGAGTAGCAGTGTTAGTCTGTATCTGCAAAAACAATGAAGAGTCCTGTGGCATTGAATATATCTGACAAAGCGTTTTTTACCCACAAAAGATTATGCCCAAATAATTCTGTAAGGATGCAACTACACTGCTCGAAATATGCTAAGCAATGTGAGCTATGCAAATTGCATAGCTTATTTCAAGTCAATTTCAAAATAGCTTTTTTCAAAATTTGGTGCGGTCTACACAACACTTATTTCTAAATAAATCGCTATTCTGAAATTCCCCTTACTCTTCGTGGAATGAGGGTTACGGGGACGTCAGAATAGAGAACCTGTTGTATTTAGAAATAACGGGCGCGCTCAAAAGACACAGAATAACTATTTCAAGCATACCTCCAGCATAGACTTAGCCTAAATCTTTAAGGTGCCAGAGCACGCCTCACAGTAAATATAAGAACTATGAAACACTTTTGTGAATCACCAACTATGTCATTCTTAATCCATATTTTAAGATGTCATGGAAAATCAGACTTAAACATTTGCAAATCTCACGCCTTCAGGAAGTGCACATAAAAAAAACCAACCTCTAACAAAACTTTCTATCCTTTAGAATCCCCCATGTATTTCACAAAATATATAGTTCTACTATTGAAATACATCCTCCTTTGCAAAGAACTGTAGCAAGGGAATCAAAGAGCATTATACATAACACTGGAGTGGGAAACAAAAATATTCTGATTACACTGAGAAAGTCTCCAGAAAAAATCCTATACTTCTGCTAACTGCCATGGGAGGTATTTGGCAGATTCTGAAAGCAAGATACTTAATGTTTGGTATGCAAGAATGCACATATAAAGCCATACATAAATATTTCCATACATAAATATTTACCATGATTATGACAGTCTTGCGATATTATTAAGAACAGTTGCCAGTCGAAGCATAAAGTTTTATTTTCCTCTCCTTAACTATGATGAGTATAGTATAAAACCATCCGGCTCAAAACAAACAGGCCTGCACCTATGCCTGCCATCAGTTTTCTTCTAAAAGGCTTAATTTAGAGAAGCTGGTTGTACTAATTTTCTCACAAGTAAAAATTAAAAAAAAGTAAGCTATAGTGTCAATTTAGATGCACAGGTAGGTTGCTTTTACTTTGGTCCTTGTTGTTTCTGTGTTAACTTCTGAATCAATTTTCTACCTTGTATCTAAGACAAAGTTCTTAGATACAATTCCCCACATTTAAATGGATCAGAGTTTCAAGAACAGTTTCTTTCAGCTACACAGTTGTGACTTAAGCAGCCAAAAGACAATCACTGCACATGCCCTCACTCTTTCACACTGTACGCTTGGGATACACATGCATACAAACAATACATCTGTCCAACCTCAAAACCACAGCCCAAGGAGGAGAGAGACAGGCCTGGCATAGAGTGCCAGAAAAGCAATCCATGTCTAGCGACAGGAGCTAGAGTCCAGCAGGATGTTCCCCGGTTTCGGGAATCAGGGGGAAAGAACGGGATGGAGGCTTTGTTCCTTCCACAATGCTCCCTGTGTCAAGGGTCCCCCCAGATGTCCTGATTTCATAAGAACAGTCCCACTATTCAGGGCTTTGTCTTATCTAGGCGCCTATTATCCGCCACCCCAAATTTGGTATCTCGTCATCCTACCAGGAACGGCCCCTTACTAGGACTCACACGGAAACGGGCCAGGGGTTCCCGGGCGGCGACACCCCGACAGCAGCGGGCGACCCCTCCCTTTCCCCCCCTCCCTTCCCAGCCCGGCTGCCCGCCCGATACGTACGAGGAGGAGTCGGGGGCGAAGAAATCCACAGCAAAGCCGAAGTAGCTCCCCTCCGAGCCGGAGTAAACAGCCCGGCCGTCCACGTCCAGATTGAAGGCGCCGCCGAGGGCCAGCCAGTGGCCGAGCAGCAGGAGCCGGCAGAGGCGAGCCATGGCCCGCGTGCAGCGGGGAGCAGCTCGCGGAGCGAGGCGCTGGAATGGGGCGCAGGGCTTCCCGGCCGGGCAGGTCGCTTCCTTTTCTGTTGCGCTACCTCCCTCCCCCCGCGGCTGGGGCTGCTGGCGAGACACCGCCTCTCCCGGCCCCGCTGCATCATCGAGAAGGAGGCGGAGCGTCAGTCTGCCGGTCTGGGGACGGGGCGGGGACGCTGCTTGCTTCCCTCCCCGCAGGCCGGGAGCGCGGGGCGCTAGCACAGCGAGCCCAGCCCTCGCAGCGCCCCAGAGCCGGGTCCCGTGAGGGGGCACGTAGCAGCAGGGGCGGCCGCAGTTGCCCGCTGTGCTACAGGCTGCTGCGTACGGAGAGAGGGAAGCTAGCGAGGCGCGGGGCAGCTGAGAGGCGAAGGGGAACTGGAGAGCAAGGGGCTTGGTCCGCCTTTCCGTGGGGCGTGGCGGGCAACTCTCCTCTTTAGCTTCGTCGTGCCACCCCCGGGAACAGGGCGTTAGTTTGTCCGCCTTGGGACACCGACGTGGGGGGCCAGTGTGAGGGGCAAAGCACGAGGGTGCCCTGAGCCCCACAGCGCAGCGTGTGCTGCCTCCTCGCCCGGTCTGCCAGGCCAGCGGCCTCAGGAAAAGGGGGGATTGGGGGAAACGTGGGCAGGTGACACTCTTCTTAGGGGTGAAAGCCACTTACATTTCATACAGGTACTCTCCTGTGGCAACTCTCCCCCCTTTAGGGCAAGATGAGCAATGCAGTTGCCTAGGGCCTAGTGCCTGCCCACCCTGCTCCCTCACTGCTCTGGCTGGAAACGTCTGGCCACGCGGTGCAGCCGGCCACAACATGTCACCTTGGGCCCCGCAAACTTTTTGGCTGGGCCTGCCCCCCCCGCCACCCCCGCCTACAGGTACTCTCCTGTGGCAACTCTCCCCCCTTTAGGGCAAGATGAGCAATGCAGTTGCCTAGGGCCTAGTGCCTGCCCACCCTGCTCCCTCACTGCTCTGGCTGGAAACGTCTGGCCACGCGGTGCAGCCGGCCACAACATGTCACCTTGGGCCCCGCAAACTTTTTGGCTGGGCCTGCCCCCCCCGCCACCCCCGCCCCCGAAGGGGGACACTATCTGTAAGAAATGTGAGGGGGGGTGCTCAGGACAGAGGTGTATAGGGGAGTTGTCCTCAGGCAGAAGGGGTGAGGCTGGGGGGCTAACCTTTCTCAGCCCACCCATCAGTGCTACCTGGCCTGCACCTGCTCTGGTGGTGATTTAAAGGCCCATGCCTCTTCTGCTCCCAGTTGGTGGCCCTGTGTGCCCAACACTGAGGTTGACCCCGGTATGGTGTCTCCATATGGGTGCCGAGCTGGGTTATGTAGCTGGATGACATGTGGTGCACACCAGCCACCACTATTACCATGATTTAAAAGTGGGAAAATGTACCTCCCCTCGGTTGGCAACCAAAGTGATCATAAAGCCATATCTTTTGGCCTTAAAACTCTGTTAATTGACTAAGTGCAACTGCTGGTGCTCAGCAAGGCCAAGATGCCTGATGCTGGGGTTCACAAAAGGAAGGTACTCACAATTAGAAGTCTCTTTTAAAAATATATCCTGGGATTCTGAGAGGTCAACCAGAACTTTTTAGACTTTTTTTTTATGGTAAACACTCAGGACAAATCAGAGGCAATAACAGTTAATAGGAAGGTTTTTTTAAAGGGCTACTTAAAAGAGCTACTATTAATCTATCCACCTTTGTCCCTAAATAAATGGTATTATACTAATCCCTCCTTTTCCAAAGGAGGCATTTAAATAATTTATCCTTTGATAAAAAGATTTAATCCATAACCAATCAAATTAAAGTATTATTATTTAATAGAGTCCTCTGTTCTAACAAGATTTGTCTTACTTTTCCTTTAAGAACTAATCCTCTTAAGAACTTTTTGCAAACAGGGGGAATATGCTCTTTTATATATAACTACAGTAATGAATCACATTTTAGGATTAGTATCAGAGTTTCCTGTTTTCTATCCAATATGAATTCAGTCTTCTAATTTCTTTCCGATTTAGGTCTCAATGACAAGAATTCATTGATATCTGCAGTCTTTAGGACACAAGCTAATAACAAACTGTGCAAAAGTCCTATTTACCATTATTAGAGACATAGATATCACCTAACACTAGATTTTAAAGTTAGTATAAGTTTAAAAGACCTAACATAATATTTATCTCTAGATAAAATGTAATTGCATTATTTATAGTTATATACAATGAAAATTAAGTCAATTTGAAGTCAATTAAAGATTGCACAGGCTATGGTAGACTAAAAAGGGAAAGAAGCCTCAGGGGGTAGCCGAGTTAGTCTCTACTGGATAAACTTAAAAAACAACAAATAGTCTCTACTGGATAAACTTAAAAAAACAACAAATTTTGTTAGTCTATAAAGTGCTACCGGACTATTTGTTGTTTTTTAAGTTTTAAAAGGGAAAGGTCATGATAATGGTAACCTTTAGGAAAGTTTCTGAATCAATTCTGGATTTAACAAACATAGAAAAAATACTGTTCAAAGCACAGTAATGCTGCATGCTTGTCCCATATCAAATTCTGTATAGTAGAGCAACATTTGAGACTTAGTTTTGAGTAAACTTTGAAAGTTTGTCAAAAAAGCTCATGAGTTATGAAAACATCAGCCGCTTTTCCAGAAAAACTTGCCAGCTGTCTACACTGGCCACTTTAATTTCTGCAAAAGCACTGACTTCCTACTGTAAGAAATCAGTGCTTTTTGCGGAAATACTATGCTGCTCCCGTTTGGGCAAAAGTCCCTTTTGCGCAAAACTTTTGCACAAAAGGGCCAGTGTAGATAGCTCAGATTTGTTTTCCGCAAAAAAGCCCCAATCGTGAAAATGGCGATCGGGGCTTTTTTGCGCAAAAGCGCATCTAGATTGGCCACAGACGCTTTTCCGCAAAAAGTGTTTTAAAAGCATTTCCGTTAAAAGCATTTCCGGAAAATCATGCCAGTCTAGACGTAGCCAAGTAGTATTTCTTACATACAATAATTTCATGAAATATGAGCAGCAAAAGGGGGGAGGGGGGATAGAAGAAAGAAAAGTTTCATCGTAAAGCTTTGTCTTACCCGAAATTGTTTTTTCTAAAATAGAAATACTACACTGCTTTTTACATGCATAGAAATTGACTGATCATCTCTCTAGCTGGTCCATTTATTCATTTAACCCTATTAGTGTGGTTTTGTCAGTTTGAAAAATGCTCCTGTGCCTGGCTTCATTTTTCTTTCTATTTCACTACAGCTGAGTAACTTAGGAGGGATTAATTTCATATGCACAGTAGGGCAAGGATGAAGATGAGGGTTGAAGGAGAGGGCAAAAATGAGGGATTGAGCTGCTGGTGGGGTACGGTGTATGCCAACTTTCTCTGGGGGACCCATCAGCATCTGCAGAATCTAAATTTCATTTAGTTTCTAGTCCTTGTGGTAGTAGAGAGGATAAATGCACACTGACACATGGCTGAGTCCCAACACAAAACCAAACAAGGACTAAAAGTCTATCCATGTGCTTTTTTCTGCACAAAATATCTTAAAACTTTTTTTTTTAAATGGGAGAGACATTGATTGCCTGTTCCATTCGTCTAGCTCAAAAACAATTGAATAGATTTTGTCCTTAACTTTAAATTAAAAGAAAAATGTGCATATACTCCCCTGCATATCATGTTAAATATAATTCACACTGTTAAAACTCTCAAAACAGGGATTGTATATTTATATCTAACATGCCACACACACCTATTGTGCTAAATATAATTTTAAATCACAATCATAAATGATAAGCAATATTGTTTTAGTTAAATAACAAAGCCAACACTCACTTATTCAGGGGTTAAACACTGCTCTTAATAATTAGCGTATGGGATATATTATCAAAGGGGAATTATATGGCTAAACTGAAAAGTTTATTTCCCTAAAGCCAATAATAAATACTGTACTATGTATTTTAAATACTTTATAATTATTTAGCAGTTTTCATCTGATACACTTTATTACTACAGCTAGTTGAACGTTTTTCTATTAAAACTTTTTTGACAGAAAGCTGGGTTTTCAAATACAGGCAGTCCAGATCCGCGGTTACGAACGGGGTTTGCTGCCCGTCTCCCTGGTCTGCTGAAGACAAGCAGACCAGGGAGACGGGAAGCAAAGCCTCTGAGGACTCCAGCAGCGGGACAGCTGCAGCACGTCTGGGCTGTCCGTTGCCCGTGTGCTCCGCGGCTTTGCTCCACGTCTCCCCAGACCAGGGAAACGGGGAGCAACTCTGGGGAGCACGCGGGCAGCGGACAGCCCAGACGCGCCGCGGCTGTTTTGCTGCCGGCGTGGTCCGCGGCCTTGC